ATAGATATATATACACACACACAGACACACACACACACACACAGGTAAGTAGTACTATTATGATACTAATGCTAGTGGTAGTATTATTTTAGCTCTTAGTTATTGTTTTGCTTTTATCTAGTCTTTTGATACATTTTGCTTTTAGCTTTGACAACTAAGTTTTAGTGTCTTCAACAAATCTTTGCATGTTCCTGAGAATTCCTGCTGCCTTCTGACATAGATGATGTTGGCAGCACGATGGCTCAGTGGTTAGCACTGTTGCCTCACAGCAAGGCCCTGGTTTCAATCCCTGGTTGGACCTGGGGTCTTTCTGTGTGGAGTTTGCATGTTCTCTCCGTGCATGCATGGGTATTCTCCGGGTACTCCAGTTTCCTCCCACAGCTCAAAAACATGCATGTTAGGCTGCCTTCAGCCCAAGGCCGGAGTAACCATATGGGCAACTGGGCAACTGCCCAGGGGCCCATGATCTCTAAGGGGCCCAGGGTACAGCGAAGTGTTCATCTGGCCCTGCTTCAGCCCAGGCTTCCCTTACAAAGAGATCTGTGATCTCAGTGGGATTCACCTGGTTAAATAAAGGTTAAATAAAAACAAATGTTTGTGTGGTGTTTTTCAGCTCTAGCTTCTGAGTGGGTAGAGAAGGTCACCTCTGCTTTGACCACCAGTGCTGGGGACTCCAGGCGGCTTCTCTTGTAGGTCTGAGGTACGAGTCCATCCTCCAGGTCCAGAATAGACCGGAACTTCTCTGTTTCATTCTCGTAGTCCTACAAAGATGAACGAGTTAAAACCATTTCATGGCAGTGTGATCTGATGCATGTCCAGAGATCTTACTTTGACTGCTTGCTGGTAAAGATGAGCATTTTTAGAGACGTTGTTCAGATCAGACTCCTTCCTCGCGATGTCAGAGAGCAGGTTCTGCAGAAACAAAAACAAGCACATTTTTAGAGTTGGAGCAAACATCACTATCACTAACAGAAACCATGATACTACAGCATGAGTGTCTCACCCTCTGGTTCTTCAGCTTAGTCTCCACTTGTCTCATGTCATCAGTTTCACGGGGCTCGTAATTGGGGACACGAGACAGCCAGCTGTTCAGATTGTCATAATCATTGCGGTAATTCTTGTGAGCCATTTTGGCTCTCTGTAGGCTTTGAGACCTGCAACACATGAAAAGCCCTCATCAATCATTGTGGAGAGCGTCCTCGTTTTTTCTTCACCAGTCTGGAAGCTCCGCCCTCTGTGTCTTGGAAGCTCCGCCCTCTCTAACCAGCTCACCTGTTTTCCGTCTGCCTGATCAGGTTGTTGTAGCGCTTGCTGAGCTTCTGAACATCAGCTTCCTGCCGTTCGATGTCAGGACAGTGCTCCTGTAACTTAATGGCCATGTCGTCGCAGCTGCCCCTGGCCAGGCGCAGATTCTGCTCCGTCTCTGTGATCACTGACTTCTGGGACCTCAGGTCTGATCCAATGTCCTGAGAGGACGAACAAGAAAATTTAGAAAACACAGCAACAAGCAGTACGCTCATGTCTCCTGTTGCTGAGGGGTTTCAACAGATGAGTGTTTAAATGAAGTGGGCACATTGCTTTCTTTTTCTTTTTCAAATCATCCACCTTACAAGGAAATAGGGGTTGAACGACTACATAATTTTTAAACTCGACATTAACATAATAAAACTCGAGTAGAACTCGAGTACTTGATGACATCATAGGATCTAAAGATACAAAAATAAATAAATAAATAAAACCGCAAAAAAGGTCATTATTTACAAAAAAAGGACCAAAAATACATTGGGAGCATATATTATGCTCCTACCATTTATCATATTGCAAATAAGTCACAGGAAAAACTAAACTATTAGTTATTATTATTATTATTATTAAGCTGCAAACGTGAAGAAACGTGCAGCACGTCAAAAACGAAACTAAAACAGTGGGTGTCCCACCCCGCACCACCGCCAGCTGTGGTGCGCATTAAGTTTAGTTTTAGAGATTAATATGTTTATAGATTTTTTTAATAGGTTTAGAGATTAATATTTTTTGCTTTTTGTTTGTGAAACAAGGTCCGAAGGAAGCTGGTTCGGTAGATTGGACCCGGTGTTACACCATACTCTGTGACCTGCAACAGTGCAACACCGCCCCCTACTGTCACAAAATATGGTGTAACACCGGTTCGCAACGCGCTCCAAACAGTCAGGAAGTTGATTCATTTTCTGTTTCCTTACGGTAGTTGAACCAGAAGATTCATCTTTAGTGAAATATTTCCATACTATTGATGCATTTCTACCTATTTGTCAAGACTGGCCCTGCTCTGCTCCATCCGTCTGCTTGGATGAATCCATTTTGTAACCCACGCCGGTGCGGATCACGTGACACGTGACGCAATGACGCAACGGCGGCGTAATGACGTCACCACGAATACTCGACGTGAAATTAAAAACCTCGATAGGTGTCCTATGAATCGATGTGTAGATTACTTGAGTAGTCTGTTAAAGCCCTACAAGGAAATTGTACTTTTAAGCAATATAAAACTAAAGCATAGTGTTAGGGAAGTTTTGATAAAAGATTATGGATGTTTTTATTACTATGGATGAGAATGTTAACTCTGTCCATGAACCATATGTTTGGGTTAGTAGAAAGCTGGATGAGGAGCTGGGTGTAGCTCCAAGGACACCTCTGAGTCTGTGAGCTCAGCTGAACTGATGAGGTATAAAAACAAGCTGCACACACTGTTCGTAGCAGATTCTCCTTACTGGGCTTCATGTGTATACTTCCTGTATATCTGTGTGCACTTCCTGTATATCTGTGTGTACTTCCTGTATATCTCTGTGTACTTCCTGTATATTTGTATGTACTTCCTGTATATTTGTATGTACTTCCTGTCTATATGTGTGTACTTCCTGTATATGTGTGTACTTCCTGTGTATGTGTGTACTTCCTGTGTATATGTGTGTACTTCCTGTATATCTGTGTGTACTTCCTGT